CAAGAACTGAGAATATTGATTTCCTTGTCTCCAGGTATCCTGTCCCAGATGCAGCTGCAGAAGTCAAGCCTGGGACTGGTAAAGCCCACAACGACCCTCACCCTCTCCAGCACTGTCTCTGGATTCTCCTTCACAACCAGTGGTTGTTACTGGAGCAGGATCTGCCAGCCCCCTTGAAGGGGCTTGGGTTGATGGAACAAATGAGTTATGGTGGCAGCACAACATATAACACATCCCTCAAGAGCTGTATCTCCATCACATGAGACACCAAGCATCTGGGTTCCATGGCCAGAGAGGACATGGCTGTGTATTAGTCTGTGAGTGACACGGTGAGAGTAACTCAGTGTGAGCCCAGACACAGACTTTCCTGCAGGGGACAGGAGAGAGTGGGTCTGCAGGGGGTGCTCAGGGCTCACGCAGCACCTTGGCTCAGGACAGCAGCAGGTGCAGAGAGAGAAAGGGGAGGGGTTACCTGGTGAGATGAGGGATTTCCTCTTTTGTCCTAATGTTTACATACCTCACAGGGACACATCTGGCTTTGTTCCATGTGACTCTAATTGGTCACGTTTCACTGGAAACAAAGAATAAGGAAGTAACTCTCTGTAGGTGAGATGTGACTAATCTCCAGGATCCTTTTCCTTCACAGGTTCCTTCATGACTGCTCTTTCTTGGCAAAAATAACTTCCTGAGGATTCCTGTTATCCTGGACTGGGAGTTATTTCTCTTAAGCTTTTCTTCCCTTGTGGCACTCTGTCCACATTTAAAGCTCATGACCTCAGACCTCTGACAGGCACACGTCTCCACTTGAGTGTGACCAGCTCCTGCAATTTTTGCCCCTCAGGAGTCCGCAAGGACTTCCTCCTTAACCAACCTCTAGTTAGTCTCCATGGAGGCCTCTTCATGACTAGTCCTCACCCGTGTTCTACTGAGCCAAGTTTTCGCAAAGAATCCTGCTAAGCCCATTTTCTGATTATCTCTCTCTCCTAAACACTTGATACCTAAACTAGTCACTCTTAGCAATTTTCCATTCACTCCTTTAATCTCTCCATTGAATATAAATACCCACTTGTTTCTGCAGCATTCAGAGTTGAGTTCAATCTCTCTCTTGTGTTGCAATATTACTGAATAAAGTCTTTCCTGCTATTTTCAGCAAATGTCATAATTTTCATTTAACAGTTCTGTTGCCACAAATTGGATTGGGCTCATACCAGGGATTCCCACAGCTTCTCACGTGCAGGCTGACCAGGGAATCCTCCCAACAAGGCTGACCCAGCTCCTAGCAAAGAGGCTCCTTTTCACTAAACATTATTTAGGCTGCCATGATTTCTTTTCTCAAATAGGTCTCATCTCTTGGGCTTGCCAGTCAATCTTGGCATTGCCCAATTTTTGCAAATATCCTAAAAAGTCAGTTTAGCCAGAATCTCCCACCTCTGATATTTGATAATTCCCAATATCTATGCAGGCTCCTCCAGCCCTGCCATCCCCACAGTGTGTCTGACCACTTTTGCCTGCCTTTAGCAAAAATCCTGACACGCCTTTCTATGGAGAATTCCCCTTACGTCAATGCTTCCTCTTAGTAATTTTCTACCCTTGATCCCCACACTGCTCTTTGTCCATAAATTCCCACTTGTTCAGGTTATATTTGAAGTTGAGCTCAACCTGTCTCCTCTACTGCAAAACCATTGTAGTCACCCTGCATAAAGTCTGCCTTGCTGTTACTTAATATGTGTCAGAATAAATGGTTTATTTTTCTTTTATTCTACTCCCATTGAGTGTCTGACACCATAGTGATAGATAACGTGATTATTTGTGAACCTGACATCATACCTTGAAATACTCAATGTAATTATCTGAATGACTGTTCTTTACCTAAATATCCATATGTTAAAACCTAACCACCAGTGTGATGTTATTAGGAGGTGGGTGCATCTGGAGAAGTTTAGCTCATTAGGGTGAGCCCTCATGAATGGAATTAGTGTCCTTGTAAATGAGGTTGAAGGGCCATTCCTTGCATCTTCTGCCACATGAGACACAGTGTGAAGGCCCCATTTGTTAAGCAGTGTGAGCCCTCAGTAACTACTGAATCATCCAGCGGTTTGATCTTGGACTTCTCAGCCACTAAATCTTTGAGAAATAAACTTCTTGTGACTATAAAATACCAATTTAGGGTATTTTACTATAGCAGCCAGAATGGAATAAGACATCATGATTAACTTGGTGACTAGTTTCTACTTCAGACCATAAGCACGCTTCAGAGGCAGGAATCTGTCCAGGCCAGAGTTTACCCACATTCTTTTTTTTTAATTTAATTTACTTTTATCAATATACAATGTGGTTGATTATTGTGTCTCATTACTGAAACCTCCCACCCTCCCTCCTTTACCCACATTCTAAAGTGGGTTTACTTGACTACAGCAGGGCACCTTTCAGAATCACTGTCCAAGGTCCAAGGTCCTGAACACCTGAATGATGTTGTCAGAGTCACAAAAATCTGGCTGTTGTTGAGGGAAACAAGGTGTGACCATGAGGACAGAAGCACAGGGTCCAGTCATCCTACATCCTTCAGACTTTTCCAGAAGCAGAAACCCTGATAGAATAGATGGGATGTGTTAAACATCTAAAAATGGGTGTCTGTGAGTTTGACACCAAATGTTTTATTACATTTTTTTCCAAGAGGAAATCTAAGTCCTAAATAAAATTCCATCAATGAAAAATTCTGAACTTGGGAATTCCGTGTATGACTCAAAGCAATCTCCATCACAGGGCTCTGCATCCCAGGATTTAGGGCTCATGGGTCTGGAAATCAGTGGTGAGAGGTACAATTACATTCTCTCACCACATCTGTGGTAACAATGTGCATAATTTTTCTTCATAATTTTTCTTCCTATCTCCACAACCTCATGCTGTGATCAGTTAGAAGACGTGGCCCACAGGAAGCAACGTTTACACAAAGTGGGGACAATAATGATTTCACTGAGTCTGAGGCCTGTGACTATTGCCCAATTCATAAAAAGTCCTGTAAATGTGCATCAGCCAAAAAAGAAAGTCTTGCTATATGGATGATGGGTAAAGTTGCTGCCACCAACAGAGACAGAGAGCAGTCACCCTGACCTACGCAGTGAGAATTTCTTCTATTGCATTCAACATGATATAGGACAACTGCACCAAATAAAACCTGACAGTGTCCAAGTGACTGAGGGCAATGGACACTCAGTGGTCAAGGCCTAGGCCATCCCACCAGCCAAGCAACACGTAGTCACCTCCCCTCCCCCAAGTGAAGGCCGTGACTTAAAAGAATCCAGACAGGACATTGGAGGAGACAGTGATGAGTGTCAAGTGGTGACCACAGGTCCAGCTACAGTGTGGACAGTGAAGCCTGATCCACTAACTCTCACACTGTGACTTCCATGCACATTGGGGCTGGCTGCTATTTCAAAGCCTTTATAGCAAAGTGGAATGAACGTGGGCCTGTGTGGATCAAATCACCAAAAGTGGACCTTGAGGGCACACTCTAGTGGATCTGAGAAATTTAAGATCTAAGTGTCAGAAAATTTGACTTTTTTCCAAGTTCTCTCTCTTTGGGTTCCAAATGGCTGTATTTTCCCTTTCTTCACATGGTCTTTCATCTCTGCAAGTCTGTGTCTTTATCTCCCTTTCTTATAAGGACACCAGTCATATTAGATTAGTACCCACCTTAATTACCTTATCTGATGTTAATTAATTTTTGAGATGCTGTCTCTAAATACAGCCACATTCTGAGATGATGGTTCTAGGGCTTCATCATATAAGTATTGGAGAAACACATTATATCCCAAAACATAAACAAAATACTGTTTTATTTATGCAGACTTTACCGGGGTGGGGAAGTTCATTTACAATCTGTTTCTAAGCACAGGGTGCTTTACCATCTTTGGTGCAACAAGACTCTCCTTCAGGACACATAACATTGCAGGTGGCTGGGTCGTACCTCAGAGGCTCAGATTCAAGGCTCCTGGGAATGGTAACCTGAATAACAAACAGAGAGAGGCTCTCCAATGAATCATAAACTTAACTGGGAACAGAACATTACAAAAGGCATATGTGAGTCATAGGAAACTATGTGCATGTTCAGGGATGTAAATGAAGGCAAAGTGTTTCAAAGGAAAAAATAATGGAGAGTTCTGCAATTGTTTTGTATAATTCTGCTTGTTTACAGGATCAATGACAAGAGTGTCACTAGTCTGAGGTTGGACAGCAAGTTGCTGGGCAGATGTCCTTGCAAATGTGTGTGTAAGGCTGTGATGGCCTCTGTACAAGGCTGTGGTTATGAAGTTCTTTGTGGTAATTTGTGTTACCAGGCGTGTGTGCATGAACATCCTCCCTTCACAGCCTTCCCAGCTCTGTCAGTTTTGTTTGTTTAACACAAGTGACTCCATTATGATTCTGACACCTCTCACAGGTAGAACTGATATTCTGCATCTGAAATACGCTCATAGGTGATGCTGTTGTGAGGACGACCTGTTGAGAGTCGCCCGTGTTGAGATCACCGTGGACACCAGCAGTTGCATTTCTTTTTTTTTTTTTTGAGACCGGCTGCACCACACTCAGCCAGTGAGCGCTGTGAGCACACCGGTCATCCCTCTATAGGATCCGAACATGCGGCGGGAGCGCTGCTGCACTCCCAGCACCGCACTCTCCCGAGTGCGACACGGGCTCGGCCCAGCAATTGCATTTCTCAGTCCAGCGCTTCTGCACATTCCAGGGCCCAGGGGTGAGGTACAAACTTTTGTGTTTTACTGTGACATTATCCTCTCTGTCACATGAGGCTCAGATGAGCCTCCTTCCAGGTCCCCTGGGGTTCTGGGTTCTGAACCCTTGGGCCGATCCCCTAGAGGGGCAGGGTGGTAAATATGAAAACTCAAGTGGGGGGACTTTCCATTTAATCTCAGGGCTCCCCTCCACAGTGGAGTCCCCCTCACCACCCAGCTGGGTCCTCAGTGCATCCTCTTCTGTCCTCCAGGATGGGGTCTGCCACCATCCTTGCCCTCCTCCTGGCTGTTCTCCCAGGTCTGTCCAGGCACAGAGTTTGGGGTCACAGAGTGAGTGGGCAGGAGGGGACCCCTGATCTGAGTCCTGCATCTCCCACACAGGTGCATGTGCCCAGGTGCAGCTGGTGCAGTCTGGGGCAGAGGTGAAAAGGCCCGGGGAGTCTCTGCGGATCTCCAGTGAGACTTCTGGTTACAGCTTTACCAGCTACTGGATCAGCTGGGTGCGCCCGGCTCCAGGGCAAGGCCTCGACTGGGTGGGGGCCATCTGTCCTGGTGACTCAGATATGCGCTAAGGCCCGTCCTTCCAAGGCCATGTCACCCTCTCCAGCGACAAATCCACCAGCACCGCCCACCTGCAGTGGAGCAGCCTGAAGTCCTCGGACACAGCCGTGTGTGACTGTGCCAGGAACAGCGACAGAAGCCACAGCCCGAGAGCCTCAGAAAGCCTCCTCCAGCGCAGCCGCAGAGTCGAGCTCCCAGACGCCCTCCCGGGGACACCTCAGATCCACCCGCAGAGGACACTGTCAGTGTCCCGAGGGGAGGACAGAGCAGCACAGCGTCCCAGGACCCGCTTGTCCCGTGATCAGCGTCCACAGGCCGCAGGTCCGTGCACAGTAACACGGCAACGCTTCAGTTGGGGGCGTCCCCGGGGCCATCGTCGCCTCCCGGCCGCCCTCTCCCTCTCCTTCCTTCCTCCTCCTGCTCCTTTACTTTCTTATTTCACAATCCGCAGCTCCCTTTCTTGTCGTGTCATCGATGTGTATACAAACGGGTTGCTTTCCATCAGGACGTTTGCGTGTTGAAGTGCAATAATGTATTTTTAACACATAATTTTCATCATCGTCTTGCTTTCTTATGCATTGCTTTGTTATAATTCGTATATTTTTAGTGACAGCAATTTTGCGTATTAAGATAAAATGTGATATTTATTCAAGGCATACATGACTGAAGATTCAATCAAGCTAATTCCTGTATCCGTCACCTCAACAATTGATTATTTGTGTGTGTGTGTGTGTGTGTGTGTGTGTGTGTGTGTGTGTGTGTGTGTGTGGTGAAAACATCACACATCTGTTGTTTTAGCAGTTTTTAATATGTGATACAACGTCATGACCCGCAGTAACCATGAACGCAGTAATCACTGAAGCTTGTGCTCAGTCTGAGGGACACTTTTCGCCCTCTGACCCACAGCTTCCCTTTCCTGACACTAACCCCGCTTCCCCCACCACCGTCTTCTGCTGACATCTTTTCCACTCTCTGCTTCTATGAGATCAGCTTTTTTGGGTTCCATGTTAAGTGAGATTACACAGTATTAAACCATCATCTGTGCCTTTCCTTGACGCACAGTCACGGTGTGTAACATTATCACACAGGTTGAATGTGAACTTCAAAGGGCTGACAAGGTAATATACAAATAACAAATCAAGCAGTATTACTCTCATTTTTGTAATTAGAGAGGAAATTAAAAGTGTTGATGAGTATTTTTAACACTTTACTAATTTCCTCATGACCCTGTTACATTTGAAGTTGAACTGGATTATCCCATGTTAGAAAGTCTGATGGGAAGACCCTGGAGAAATTACAACATGGTGATTGATTTGTCAACATGTGTCAGAGCCATGCAGGTGACAGTGCCATCTTCAGGCATAATGGAACTTCAATAAAGCCTCTGTCTTAAAGTCTCAGTTCTCAAGTCTGCATTGCTGTGGCAGGTATTTTTATTGTTGACTTCAGGTCATCATTTCCAACCATTGTATATTCAAGTACTTACGACCTTGCATTGCAAATATTGCTAAAGCATGTACTTTTTTGTAATGAGAGCTCTCATTTTGCCTGTAACTTTCATTTTTCAGTCTATTTAAGTGTGACATAATTACAGGCACACTCTTATTTGGTGTGGTGTGTTACCATTTGATCCCTAAGGTCATTCGTGATCCATGCTCGCCCTTCCTTCCTTATCTTACAGGTCTGATTGTTGAATCTTTTCTCCTTTTTTCACCTTGATAGTTTCTCTCTGTCTCTGTCTCTATCTCTGTCTTTCTGTCTCTCTCTCTTTCTTACATAATGGTGTTTCAAAAGAGAATGACTTACAAACTTGTGTCCTACCCACGCCTAAAGATGCTAAGAACTTTGATCTGTTTATAACTTCAAAATCAAAGAGGTAAAATTACCTGCTCAATTCATCTCTCTGCTGGTTTCCAATACCATTGTTGTTTTATAATTTAATTCTATTTTTTGTTGTTGTTTAGTATTGGTTATTGATTCGTTGAACATATCAATACAACTAATTATTATTATTGTTCATATAACCATTGTTTTTAATACTGTTTCATTTATTTAAAGCACATTTAAAATTTTCTCGGCTAGTATTTTTTTCCTCACTTTTCTGACATTCTATCTGAAATCATTTTTTTCCTTTAACATCTTTTCTCTTTTCAGTGGTGTGAGACTGCTGCTTAATGAATTTTCAATATTACTTTTCTTAAAATAGTTTTTACACTAGATTCACCCAAAAACACAAACATTCCTATTGCAAGATTGCAAATTAATTCACAGCATGTGCATCAGGCTAGCAGGATAATTATGATAGAAAGAAACTGTGACACACTAACTCTTCACAGCACACAGTGTGATCCTGCTCACTTTGTACCTCAGGAGATTCTTCCTATAATCTGTGACTTATTTCAGAACAGGACTGTGAAGATTCCCATTTGTACCTGTTACAATGAATTGCTCAGCATCAATCAGAGGCATCATTTCAGGTAGATTTTCATATAAAATAGATGTTGAAAAAGTGGTTAGTCTTTGTCAGGGGGTGGATGTTTGGAGAGAGAGAGAGAGAGAGAGAGAGAGAGAAGGCTCAGTGTATTAAACTCCAGTCCACCCACACACCATGAAAGTTCTCTTTCATCCTGAGATAACAGGTAACATATGTTTTGATCTTTTGATGTAAGTCAGGGCCATACAACTAGTTATGCCAAAGGAAATGTGCGCAGATATGACATACCCCCTCACAGCCGGGCTAATTAACTTAAAGTTCAACAGGAGCAAAGTTTCAGTTATACAGGATGAGCAAGGTCTAGAGAGCTGCTCAACAACACTGTGTTCACAGTTAACAATACTGCATCATGCACTTAAAATGTATTAAAAGGGAGACCTCATGTTGAGTGTCTTTACAACAATTGAAATAGATTCCACCTGAAATTCTTCATTCCATCTCCTTCTGTTTGCTTTTAAATGTCAGTCCACAAGCTGTAGATTCTAGGTCTCAAACCAGTGTGTGTCCAGTTTAGTGAGTGACTTTATGAATCCGATACCTCTACTTACCACAACTTCCCTCCTGAACACAGTAGGGCAGAAATGAGCAAACTGCAGATCTTTGTTCTTGGACCTTATTCCACTGAGATGCTGGGCTGTTTGCTCCATGAGGCAGAGCATCCTGATAAATCATCCTTGACAAACAGAGCTGGGGGAATAGAACTCTGTAGAGTCAGCTGAAGGTTTGGAAACAAACAGAAATTTAATTTCACGCTATGCATAGTTATTTTAAATCTCTCATAATTTCAAAATCTATATCATATCTTATTATGGTTCTGATACTTCCTTTGTTGTTTCAGAGTGTTTGTTTTCCTTTGCCTTTTACCAGGTCTTTTAACATTTTTGAAAACTCCAGCACAATGTATGAGTTATTAGGAACTGATGAATCATCCCCAAATTGTCCAACAGCAGCTCCTGTCTTGTTATACATTCAGGACCCTTGAAGGGCTGTCCCTCCATGACATGGAGCTGTCCTTGGGACTGAGAGGGAGCTGACAGGGGCAGACACAGCACAGCATCCAGCCCGGCCCCTGGCCTCTTTCTCTGTGGTGGGCAGTGGTGCACTGGGTGGTGCCACCAGTCATGGAGGGGCTGTGGAGTCCTGACACACAGACATCAAAGGAAAATATATTTCTAAAAGTCTTATATTAGGGATGCTTGCATGTTAACCATTAGTATTCATATTATTTTTTTACACGGTGGGATCCCAGATGGGAATAGAGGATTAAATGTAAAATTAACATCCAAAAAATACAGATGGAAACGGAATTTAAGCTGAAAATTTTACACTTTAGATGCAAAGAAAAGACCTTGGGAAAAGGGCATTTAAAAGAGTCTTTTGCTCTTTCTCAAATGTTGAGGGTCAGCTTCCTGAATAATGTACAGGGCACCAGTTTTTGCAGGGTCTCTGTGGGTTCCCATGTGCTGTGTCTTGTATCACAGGATGGAGAGCACAAGGCAGGCCTGGAACTCATGGAGCAGCAACAGTGGAACAATGGAACAAGGTCTCGGGGTGACGAGAACCACACCACAGGACAGGGTACAGGGAAAGAAAGCAGGGGTTGTGCTGGGACCAGAACTGAGGAAGCAAGACCCAGAGCCTGAAATTATGATGGAGAGTTGGGCTGGGTCCAAGACAGTGCAAGAGAAGACAGGGATTGAAGGAAGGTAGATCTGGGCTCGGAAAGCTGGGGCCACATTTTGGCATATTTTAAACTCACCAAGTTCCCTCCCATACCATAATTAGACGTCAAATAATTTTAAGAAAAAGAAAGCATACAAGCAGTTCAAAAAATGCAGTGTCTCACCTCAGTTCCTCAGCACTTATAAGGACAGAGCTATCCCACATGCAAATTTTCCTTCAAGCTCTAGAGTAAATGCAGACACTTGTGTGGTGGAAGCTCACAGGTCTGTCCTCAGACAGGGCTCAGGTCTCTGGGGAAGGCAGCGTTGAAATCCAATAGAAGATGAGATTGTGGGGTCTTCTCCTTTGCTTGGTGACAGCTAACCATGGTGAGCGTCTCAGCTGTCACACATGGGTCTATGGGATGGTTGTGACTGCATGTGACTGACAGGAACTGATTCTCCTTCTTTCCAGGTGTCCTGTCCGAGGTGCAGCTGCAGGAGTCGGGCTCAGGACTGGTGAAGCCCTCGCAGACCCTCTCCCTCACCTGCACCGTCTCTGGATTCTCCATCACAACCAGTGGTTACTACTGGAGCTGGATCCACCAGCCCACGGGGAAGAGCCTTGAGTGGATGGGATACATCCATTCTGGTGGAAGCACAGGTTATAACCCGTCGCTCAAGAGCCGCATCTCCATCACCAGAGACACGTCCAAGAACCAGTTCTCCCTGCAACTGAGCTCTGTGACCGATGAGGACACAGGCGTGTATTACTGTGCGAGAGACACAGTGACAGGAAGTCAGCGTGAGCCCAGACACAAACCTCCCTGCAGGATACAGGAGGGGTCTGGGCTGCAAGGGGTGCTCAAGGCCCACCCAGCTCCTGTGCCCCGTGGAGCAGGTGCAGAGAGGGGATGGGGGTTCCTCTTGGGATCTGAGGTTTCCTCTGCTCTGCTGACTCCCAGATGTCCCTCAGAGTCATTTCCTGCTTTGTTCTTTGTGACTTGAGTTTCTCACATTCTCACTGCATGGAACACAGAGTGAAGTAACTTTCCTCATTTGTAGATAAGACGTTTCCACTCACTGGATTTCTCTCTTTTCTCAGGATTTATTTGAACTGTTTTGTTTTTATTTTTATTTGAACTGTTTTATTATGAACTGTTTCATTTCCTGGCATGCAAATCATTGCAAAGATTCTTACCTTCATGTGATCAAGAATAATTTTCCCTAAAGCTTATCCTAGTGGAACTGCACACTGTCCCTACATGGTCCTCCCCCCCCCCCCCCCCCCAGTCAAGCACACATGTCCAAACATGGTTATGATTGTCCTACAGGACCTCTGCCCATGGCGTCTCTATCCTCACTGAGGAATTTTAGCCTCTGGATCCTCATGCACACCATGGACACTGATGTTCAGGATTTGTCCCACACTCTGTCCATCCCTCAGTGCCTTGGATGGAGAAGCAGCTGTCCGAGGGCCGACACAGCTCTGGTACTTCCATGTGGAGGATTCAGGATGACAAGTGCAGAGATAAAACCGAATTAGGGCCCCTCTGGGCTGACTTTTGGGCTGCGTCTCTCAAAGTAGCCCTGGGAACTGCATCCTAAATCTTGTCTCTCAGCTTCCATGGGGAGAATCCATGCGGATAATGAGAACCAGCTGGCAGAGTCCTGAGTCCTGCCCACTCTCTGCTGTCCCCACGTATCCCAGAGACACTCACCCTAGTGTCACTGACTGTCTTCTATTGTTTAATTTCTCATTAGATCTGTCCCTAGACACTCTGCTCCACAGGTCTAGAGCCCTGCTCAGTTCCTGTCAACCCTCCCTGTGCAGCTGCAGATCCGAGGCTCAGTGATGAGGATGAGCCGTGAAGGCAGAGACGTCACGTGGTGCAGAGCAGGGAACCTACGGCTTGTGTGTTTCAGGAATTGAGAAAACTCCACATGTAGAGGAGGTGAGACAACAACAAGATCCAGGGAAAAACCACGGACAGGCTGGATTCATTAATCAAAACTTTGTTCCTGCAAAAGACACTGTAAAGAGGATGACATGACAAGCCACCGACTCGGTAAAATGTCCCCTGATGTCCTCGTTATTTTCTCATCTGTGGATTATGTTTTCACAGACACTGCTTAAATGTGGTGCTTTAGTTTTTCTCTGTTATTGCCCAGAAGCCCTGTCCATGTGGGTAAGGTGTGGGGTAGGGGAAGCACTGCACAGTCCTATGATGAGTTCTGTCCTTTAGTGAGCCGTGTCCTGGGTGTGAACCTCCAAGTGCTTCTGCCTTCACCCTCCCTTAGTGGAGACTGGAAAGCTCTCAGGGGCAGAGGGATGGAGTTGAGCGCATCTTCTCTCAGGTCAATGATGCTCTGATAAAACCCCAACCTATTAGGAGCCGCTAAATTAGTTCCTCCTGATGTCAGCCTTCTCGGAAAGAACGTCCTGCTCTGGTGTGTCTCAGGCTGACTCCTTCCCCCTTTCTCTGCTGGGAGCAGGAGGATTTTTCTATGATATTTTCCTTGGGAAC